CTCTCCCCTAGCAAACATGGTTCGTTTGAGGCCCTCACTTCTCCCTGCCTTCTCACAAGCCAGTATGGGTGTTTGCAGGGCGGGGCAAAAACCCAAGATGGCAGGTGTAACTTGTAAGCAAAGTGTCACTTGTAATGGAAGCGCCATCCCTTTGTTCGCATGTAGAGATTGCAGGCATGGACAAAGGGGTGGAGCTTCAATTGTACAGCTGTGCCTGCCATCTTGATCCTGTCTCTAAGTGGGGTTGCTTTTCCCCACTGGCAGGTGATGGGAAACAGGAGGGGAAATGAAACTAGGGGAATTTATTTATTTAATTCAATTTGTATGGCTGCCCATCTCAGCAAGTGACTCTGGGCATTGAACAATCTTAAAATAGATGAAAAACCAATTTCCATCATGAATACAAAAATTAAAATACGCTGCAGGAATCCATCTGGTGTTTTCCTTAACCTCTGCCTTAAAGCTGTAAGGACCCCCTCGCTCACCAGCCTTATTACGGAGGCCGAAGAGAACTTAGCTGTCATGCTTGGCAAATGTTATGCTGGCGTTCTTTTTCTCTCAGCTCACATGCTGATGGATTGCCCTTCAGTGTGGCCATCCAGTTATGCCCTCATCAATCACTAATTAGGATGTGGCTTAAGGGCAACCCATAGAAACTATTGCAAAGCTAGACAACAGAACGCCCCCTAGGCTTTTCAGCTCCAGCAATCCTCAGTCCCATCCCATTAGCATCACCGCTTGCCAGTAGTAAGGAAACGTGGGGTGATAGTTCAGAAATATCAAATGGCAACTGCCTTCCAGAGGGATCTGCGGGAGTGGGTCGAATGATGAAGGCGGCGCTGCACTGTCAGAATGCAAGCTCTGACCCTTTTGTGGGCGTGTCACGACATTGCATGTGGGTATGAGAGGTGGAGCTTGCGCAACAATGATGCAACACTACTGTTGTCATTGTCATGGAAGCATCAGATCCTGTGGCTGCTGCAGCTGCTTGATTAGTTCTACACTAGAAAAATCTGCTGCTGAAAGTTACATTGTAACCATAGAGTAGGAGTTCAGTTTAATTTTCTCTCTATAACCACTGTAAAAGAAAATTGGAAGTCATTTATTTTTTTTCTGCACTTTCGGCTGGCCGGCCCTTCCTTCCTTCCTCCCTCCCTTCCGTTTTCCCTTATCTTAAATATTAATTTCTGTTAGCTTTTAGCTTAAACATTTAACAAAGGCTATTATTAAAAAAAAAAAAGAAAAAATCTGCCACAATCATTTCCTAGTGTTCTCCTCCTGAAGCCAACCTTTATTTTCCTTCGATAGCAAAAGCACTTTTCTTCTTTCCCTACTTTCCCTGAATTTTAGCAGAGACACTGCTGTTACCATAGCAGATTAGAATTCACATTGGCTGCTAAGAGGATCTGCAAAAGACAATTTGTTGATACCTTAGTCTTAAAGTATTCCAAGCTTCCTTGTTTTTGCTACAACAGTTTAACCCATTATACCTCTGAAATCTAACCAGAAACAGCCTCTCACTAATTGTAATCAAAGGTATATTTATTGCTTATTTAGAATATCCATACAAGTGATTGATAGCATCTTCTAGCCATCACTGAGGTTATATAAAGCCTGTTCACATGTGTGATATCACCATACCATTATCACTGCTGTGGATGGCCTTTTTATTTTATTGTGTTTTACAGCAAGATGACTGTGACTCAATTCTGAAATACGCCTAAAGGATATGATCTTCCAGAAAGTTGCTCCATTAAAAAGGCTTGAGTTCATTTACATACTGAGCTGCAAGTATTCAAATCTGAATTACGCACCACCTTAGAGATACCTCTAGTAAATACCAGCAAAGGAAGAAGCTGTTGTGAACTATGAACAAACCTCTCTCCAGTAATTACACAGTTGCAGAGGCATGGGATTTGTGGGCAACTGCTCTCTCCATCTCAGAATAGCCATTTTAATGTTTTGTGGGATGCCAAAATCATTTAAGCCAACTCTGAAAGGTGATTTTAGGGGGGAAAAAATCTTGATTCAATGCAGAGATGGAGAATCTGTTGCTTCCAGAATTTATTATATAACAGCAACTGTGTCTAAAGGGAGTATTAAATGTTGCAACACAAAAGCTGAAGGACCCTGACTTGTAGTGTCTTATCACTCTCTACTTGCACTATGTATTAGTTCACACCACAGTGGAAAACTGGAAAAATCTATTGTTTTTATACATCAGTTATTTCCCCATCCCCTTATTTTTTTACACATTTCTTTTACATTATTTTACAACTTATAGAAGCAACATTTCTATCCATTTCCCTTACCCTGGATGCATAGGATATATTCAACCCATACTGAAACAGCTACATTAGAATGAAAAATTCAAGACAGAGACTACCCCACCGTATCTATTCACTGCATGGAGTAGAATTCCCGGATCTACATCAATAGCCAATACATTTTTTTTTTAAATAAAACACACACAATTTATTGGTAAAGATGAGATACCTGGATACAGGTAATTTTTATTTACTTTTGGCAAGTGGAAATACATATAGCACAGCGTGCCTCATGTCTGTCGTTAAGCATTAATCCATTCAAGTTAAGGTTTGTATATGCCATGTACCTTGTTTTAAATCTCATGTAATTAATTACCCAATTACAAATACTTCAAAGTAAACATATTTAATCTACAGGATGAGGAAAACACAGACTGAGTCCTATCCATGTTTACTGAGAACTAATTCCGACTAAACTCAATGGGAGTTATTCCCCAGTAAATAGAGGACTGTGGTTGAAAACTAAAAGTGCCACAAACCTGTTCAGTGAACTAAGATGTAAATGATAATACTCTGATAGCTCCTCCACTCCAACCCTAATTCCCCAAATAGTAGAATAATTTTCACAGAATGTCCTTGTAAACATTTGATTCAGCTTAAGTGTTAAAAATTGAAGGAGACTGTAGAATTAACACAATTACTCTAGTCAGGTTTATTAAACACTGCTTATACATGATACCTTTAAGCTGAATTTCCTTCTTCATCCAACCATCTCAAAAAGCAGTATGAAGAATAGTGACATAATCTTTGCATCTTGTGTTAATTTGTACCTTTAAAAACCAATCCCCCATCATTTCATGAATCAGACCCTATTCTTGTTCTGACAGGTTTATCATGAGGGGAATATACATAGTTAAGGCTGTTTCTTCCCCCACTGTATAACTACTTGATTTTTGAACTCAGAAGATCCCATATTACGGATCCATCTTCTCCAACCTTGCTGGCTCGGAATGTTAAGAGAAGTCCCATGCATCTCAAGTATACCAGTTCAGAAAACTGCTCTAGATACTGCAGTACAACTGATTGGCACAATCCCAGAGCAAACAGTTTCTAATGCAATTAACTGGCAAGATCAGGTTGCTGTTTTTCAGGTATAACAGCAGTGCACAGTGCCATTAAAAAAAAAAAAAAGAAATTAAGCTTCAATTAGTGATATTTGTTTCCCCTGCTGCTGGAGAACACAGCCCATTGGACTTTGGTTGGTGTACCACTACTATTAATTTCAAGAAAACTGTCTTAAAGGCTATCCTGACCTATGAATGATGAGATGGCATTTCTCTATTGCAAGATCAGCAGCAAGAAAACTAAGGCCATTGCCCCCTTAAGGCAAGCACTAAGCATAGGCCTGATCCTTATAGTCAGCGGTGCTCAAGTCCTTCAGTGGGACCTAAGCACACTTCCCTGTTCCAGATTATGCTGAGTGAATAGGAGATAGGCACAAGAACCTTTCAAAAGCAGGCTTCCAACAACCCTCAACAGAAAGTTCTGACTCCCATGTTTGCTATGTTAAATATGCAGAGTGTGGATGTTACTACAGGTAGTCCTCATTTAGCGACCACAATTGGGACTGGCAACTTAGTTGTTAAGCAAAGCGGTTGCTAAGTGAAACCGCAACTGTGCTTACGATCTTACTTCAGCTCTCCTTTGCTTTACAGACCTGTGAAAGTTGTAAATGTGAGGATTCATCACAAAGTTACTTTTTCATCACAGTCATAACTGCAAACGGTTGCTAAACGAGGCCTACCTGTAATTTCAACCACTAATTGTTCACTTCCACCCATCTTCCCAAAAGTTGAGGAGAAGAAGAAGTAAGGTTATAAACTTTTTCGGCCAATTCAACACAAGTTGTAGTCCTAACAACATGTTTTCAGTGGGCTGATTATTATGATTTTTATGATCTGTGGGGAGGACAGAAATAGGAGGACAGAAATACACATTCCTAAGTAATCCTAATGGCATATAAACATACATGACAGTTTTTTTAAAAAAAAATGTGATGTTAAAAAGTTCAATTAGTTGAAAAGTACCCATAATGCAATGTTAGCAAAATCCAGACAGTTTAAAAACACTAGTCTCTGTTAAAATAACATTCCACTTATTCTTTTAATTGGTATTTTATTACATTCACATGGAATTGTGATAATAGCTCACATAGTATTCAAGAAATGAAGGATAAATTCAACATACACAGCTGTTCCAGATTTATTTTTTTCCAAAAAGGAGGAATGAAAGGAATGAAAACGTTTACAGCATAAATGTATATTTTTCTCAGCAATTTTGAAACACTGACATTCATGCCAAAAGGAACTGAGAGTCCTGTAAACTTAGGTTTTCTAACAGAAACTCAAAAAGGGAAAAAAAAGGCAGATAGACTGCAGCTAAATTTTTCATTTAAGGAAAAAGAAAAAAAGATTGTTTTGTGGAGGCCTAAAAGCAAAAGCATGACCCAGCCAAGGTTCTGCACTCCTGTATGGGAAGTGTATAAGCCTTCTGCCTATCTGGATTGGACTTTAAAGTGCTTAATTTTGGCTGGATCATGCCCGCTTAGTAATGCTAAAGGCAACTTTTAAAGCGAGTAAGGCTTTCAAAAGATAATGGTTTTATCAACAATAGCCAGCATATCTGTGATATTCCAAAAGTTTGTTCAGGTTTTTTTGTCTTTTAAAAAAGCCACTACATATAAAAGGTTTCTGGTAAGAAGAGATCCTTCTAAAGGTTGAGTTGCTTGGCTCCAGGAAATATAACTCAGTATTACTTATAATGAAAACACACACACCGTATGGGCCACTGTGCTTTCTAATTGGAACACAGTTCACGTATTGTTTTCCGGTTCCTTTGACAGACAAATCAAGGGTCACAGCAAACCCAGCATTTCTCCCGTGCAAGCCTCAGCGATGAGAAGAACTGTGTTGCTGCAAGGCTTCATTCGTTTTAAGGGTGCTTACTGGGAGTTACCAGTGGATCATGTTGAAGAATATTGGGCATATTGTATTATTTCGTCATTACTGTATAAATATGCTACATACACATAATAATATAATGTATGTGTACATACTCTAGGTACCTTATATTGACATATATGTTTATGCCACACATTTTATTAGATTGATAGGAAAACATTTAATTATTTAGATCACAGCTGGTGTAGCACTTAATGCCAATCCACTGATTATGCGGTAACTCAGCATCGGAACAGACTTTGGGACAAAAACTCTCTCTCCTTGTTTTCCAGTTTTACGTGCATTCCATTTTGTCCCAACCAGATGCAGAGTCTCCCAACTCAATGCTGAGATTTTACGTCTATCAGTTTCTGAAGATAGTTCTGTGCAATGGGCACAGAAAGAATAAACCGAACTGTCCTGTGTCCCATCCGATAGCAGCCGTAGCCCACCAGTCCAAATACTGTAGCCTTTATAACAAACTTTAGGATTTTACTGGAGGTGGATGGAGGAGGCACACTGAAACAAGGAGAAAGGGAGAAAACAAACTTACCATCCAAATTAAGTTATCAGAAAAGTGACCAATTACCATTTACACCAAATATTATCATAGCTGCCATTAATTTCATACCTCAGGCAATGTACTGAATCCTCTATATATTGCCTTTTTAATTCAATCAATAGCTGTGCAATTATTTCAAAGTTACCCAGGTAACAGCTAATAAGATTATAGCAGAAAGGATTATTTTGCCCACTATTAACGTATGTTGGATAGCAGCAAATAAAATGAACTTCAAACTCTTCCATGTCTGTATACTAAGAAGTGCCCTTGAGCTTAAGATAATTTGCAGCCTTAGTTACTACATACGAAAACCATCCTGTACAGATTAGGCTATCAACAATAGTATTCATTATCCCTCCAGAGATAAGTGATAAGAAACCACACAGACATTTGCTGAACTCCAACTTACATCAACCCCAGTCAACATGCCCAGTGATAAGGGAAAAATAAGAAAAATGGTCCAATATCTGTAGCTTATTTACAATGATTTGATTTCTGATGCCACTTTCACTTTTACAGTGATTCTCCAAGTTTAAAGGAGCAGTAACAATAATTTCTTCCAGTTTTATTAAGGAATTTTCCCCCCACTTTGTCTTTCTCTACCACAGCAATCCTACAAGTGTGGATAGAGAAAAAATGGAAACCAGAGCTGTCTGAAGTTCAGAGTAGAAGAAAGGGCAACAATTATTTGGTTCTCTTTGTTTTTTCCCCAATTTCACTCCCATTGATTGCAATGGGGAGGAATTATTCTATAACAGTGCCAAGACTGACATAGAGCTGCAGGTCTAAAGGATGGATCCTTCTGACAAATTCAGAGAATCCCTTATCAGGAATTCTGGGACCTCAACTTAATTCATCATCAGTTAAACTGCTTCACTGAATCACTGGATTGACTCCTAATCTGGTCATATTATATGTAGACCCATGAAAATCAGCAGGGCTTGAGTTAAATTTCCATGGGTTCCACTCCAATTAACCAGGGATTAATCCATTACAGGTAGTCCTCATTTAGCAACCACAACTGGGACTGGTGAAGTGGTTGCTAAGTGAAACCGCAACTGTGCTTATGATCTTACTTCAGCTT